GAGTTATTGTAGATCACAGGTGTCAAACTCCAGTCCTCAAGGGCCGCTGTCCTCCAGTTTTTAGATGTGCCAGAGGTTCAAAACGTTGGAATGAAATGGTTTAATTACCTCCTCCTTGTGTAGATCGGTTCTCCAGAGCCTTAATGACCTGATTATTCTATTCAGGTGTGGTGCAGCAGAGGCTCATCTAAAAGTTGCAGGACACCGGCCCTTGAGCACTGGAGTTTGACACCCCTGTTGTAGATGGTGGCAGCTGTTGGCAGAAAAGATCTCCTGTAGCAGTCTGTAGTACGGCCAATTTGAAGAAGCCTCTGACTAAAGACACTGCTCTGAATATAAAAGCAATTTCAGAAAAATTTCTTTTTTATATATATATATGTATCCTTCAGTTTGTGATTAATCATTTACTAAATTGGTTGACCATTATTTCAACAATTGATTAATTACAATTAATCATTTCAGCCCTTGTTGCAAATAATGCACATAACTCACTTTTTACTTCAGGTTTAATCATTCTTAGCACTTGCAAGAATTAAAAAACCATCAAAGCAAAGAACAAAAGAAAACAAATCACTAAGCCATTATGTAAATTTAAGGTGTGATTCACTGTCTTTGAGTCTGGGGCATATTTTGCCTTAATGTTTTGAGTCTGTATACTCCAGTTAATGATTAATTCATTACTAAATTAGTTGACGATTAATTCAATGACAGATTAATCACGATTAATCACAATGAATCATTTCAGTTCCTTGTATTGTCATTTCCTTTAACCTTAGCTCTTCGTGCAGGTGCTAAGTGTATGTGTTTGTGTGTGTATACACGAGCATGGAAGTATCTGAAACAGATTGAGGAAAACACAAAATGATTTATTCCCAAAGGTATTTATTTTGTTTGCAGGGCATCTGAAGAGCCGCCTGTACATGTCTCACATGGCCAAAATGGTGAAATCCCTGCAGACTCTGAGCAGCTACAGGAGGAGAGGAAAGAGACGGGAATGGATGAAGGCTACGATGCCACAGAGAAATCTGGAGACGAGCAGAGTGTTAGAGAGGATGTGGAAAGTGAGCTAGAGAAGCTAAAGGATGAGCTCAACAGAGATGTGGAGAATTTAACCGAGAGTGAAAACAGAGAAGTCAGCGTTCAAGAGTTGGGTGAACACATTTCTCTGGGGAGTGAGCAGGATGTCCCAGCCGAGGTAGCAGGACAGTCATGCTGAACCCACCCCCCTTTGTTTTCTATGTGTTTTTCTGAGAGCTGTGATTCTGTCTGCAGCAGGGCGAAGACCACGATCTGACCCGGAATCAGAGCCTTGATTCCACCTTTTCCATCCGCAGCAGAGACATTTCTGAATCAGAAGAGACGCTGCAGCAGTCAGCTGAGCTGCTGACTTTGGCTAAGCGAACCCCGCAGTGTGACTCACAGGAGATTATACGCAAAATGACTCTCAAGGAAATCGAGTCAGTGATCATTCCCCCCTCACATGCTGCTCCTTCGTTCTAGGTCTAATGGTGATGATGTGATCTGTGCAGGGTCTCTTAAACTCATGTCTAAAATTAAAACCTTAAAATGTATTTAAAAAGTTGGCCTTGCAGTTTTAGGACCACTTTTTTCTCAGAATTTTTACCTTAATCTCAAAATTCTGAGATTAAAGTCAGAATTCTGGAAAAAAAAAGGGTCAGAATTCTGAGATTAAAGTCAGAATTCTGGGGGAAAAAAGGTCAGAATTCTGAGATTAAAGTCAGAATTCTGAGAGAAAAAAAAATCAGTATTCAGAGATAAAGTCAGAATTTTTTTTTCAGTAGCTCTAATTTTTCGTACAAACATGTTAAACACAGATCTTAAATTTTGCCATAGCAGGATTATTTCATCTTGTATGTAGTTTTTGTTCTTTCATGACTTTTCTGTCAGGCCAAGTGATGTGCAGACATCATTGTGTTCTGTACTACAGTGTTTTAGGACCATTGTAGACAGAAAAAATACAGAAGTAAATTTACACTAAAAAACTCAAATATTTTTAGCCTAATCTCTGTCATTTTCTCGAGAAAAAAAAATAAGTTTCAAAAGTCTAAAATTCCTGACTTTTCTAACTCAGAAATTTATATTTTTTTCTAGAAAATTTCTGAGCTTAAGCTCTAACTTTATGAGTTTTTTGGCAGAAATGTACTCCTTTTTTGTACTGCGTCATCGTAGTCCTGTGACAGGAGGCGGCTCACTCATTTTTAGCTAGCTAGCTAGAGCTAGCTTTCTTCCTATTAATAGCGGATATGTGCAAATGTATCACCAGCTGGCTGGACGGTGTTCATTTTTGCCACTTGTTTACATTTGCTCAGAAATTTGCTTTGAGCTGACATTAAAAATGTTTTTAAAAGTCTAAAATGTAACTTGTTAACACCGGCAGAACCCCTGTTTGTGCTCGGCTAGGCCCCGTGTTCGTTTAACAACCCTGAAGCTGTTACTGGATCGTGGAGCCGACCCCAACTGCTGCAGGGTCCCAATGCCCGTCCTGTTTTTGCCCATAATGGCGGGCGACACTGAGGTCGTCCATAAATTGCTCATGTGTGGAGCTCGTACTGATATTCGCCTTCCAATGAAGGTAGGAATCTCCTATGTAAATTATATTTATTTTTAGTGGGAACTAGAAATTAATGTTGTGATTGAGGATCAAGACTGGGAGCAAGTGTGTGAAAATGGACATAAACTGACTAACAATCCAACATGGAAAGAATTTTATTGGAAAGTAATCGTTAGATATTTCAAAACACCATGTATTATTTCAAAATTTGATCAAGCTAAATCAAATTTGTGCTGGAGACAGTGTGGACTAGTCGGAGATCACACTCGTATCTTCTGGGATTGTCCAAAGATTAAAACGCTAGGAGAGGGAATTAGAGAGGAAATTTCAAATATTTTACACATTTATATTGAATGGAACCCCCTTGTCTTTGTTCTGGGAGTAACCCAAGTCATTTATTAAGTTAAGAAAACCGGTACTTGTTTGGAATCCTTGTACACCTAGCCAAAAAAATGATAACAGTAGGTTGGTATAAACTTTCACCCCCTACTATAAATCAATGGAATGAGAGACTAGTGAGCGTTTATACAGTGGAGAAAATAACAGCAAAACTAAACATGTCCACTGATTTATTTGAGAAATGGTTGAACCCAGTTAACATTGTAGCAAGTATAATAAATGTAAACACAGGTATACTCTTTATATGTATATCTAACATACGTCTCTGTTAAGATGCAGGCAAAGGTTACGGGAGGAAGATCTTCCCTTTATTTCATATTTCATGTTTATAGTCCATTTGTAGCCTGTGTTTTATATTCCACTGATTGATGGAGAAAAGACTCCTTGGAACTTCAGCTCACCGAATCGTTCGGATGTTCTTGTTCAACTGATTTGTTTGGTTGTACTGGAAATTGATGTTTGTGATTTAATGTACTAATTATTGAATTTGAATCCAGAACTAATAAAATAAAGTCTTTGTTAAAAAAAAAATTATATATTTCTTTTAAACTCGAAAATCTTTGTAAAACAGTAGGTAGGGATTTTTCAAGCTGTAGAAGTGGCATTCCACAATACACATGAACACGCACAGAAAAGAACAGAAACAACATCATGAAAAATGCAGAATTAAGGAAAACTTTGATTTTGTTGATTTTTTTTGTCTTAAAAGTATAATGTATATTTTATTTTACAGTCCTGGCTTAATTACTTTAGCACAGTTAGCTGCTAATGTAATTAGCATTAATCAATTACCAAATTGGCTGACGATTATTTCAATAATCGATTAATCACAATTAATCTGATTAATCATTTCAGCCCTCATGAGATTATGCTACTAAAGATTAATTTAATTTGGAGTGTAATAGTAGATCATATACTTTAAGTAATTTGTAGTTTATCTCAGACTTGATTACCTCCAACATGCCGGGTTTTTTCTTCCTTTCTGTAGAATAAAGGGTTTTATCCCCTCCATGTTGCTGCAGCGTTGCACGGTTCTGAAGGTGCACAAATCACTGAAATGCTTTTACACGCTATCACCGAACCCGACTCTCGGGCATGTGACCAGGAAGAGATCTACCAACCGGATATGGTGCATGTTTATGTTCACCTTCTAACATACTCCCCTGTTTAATAAAGGAGGTAAAGTGTAAAGTTAGTATTTTTCTGTCTTTTCAGGCCTTCATGGTGGATAAAGAGTGGGAGGACGTGACTGAGGACATGCATCTGAAAGACGGGGGCCGAACTGCCCTGCACATAGCCTGCCAGAGAGATGGGGACTACTCGGTCTGGGACAACAGTTCACACATTCACAGCTGTACTCATCCTTAGTCATATGAAATGTATTTTATTTGTGTGTTTTGCAGAATGCCTGTAAAGTGGTGGAGCTCCTGCTCTCCCACGGAGCCAGCACCAACCTCCTCTGGAGCGGACACTCTCCCCTCTCCTTGGCCATAGCGAGCGGCAATGATGAGGTACCGCCGCCCCCCTCCGTCAGGGCAGCGGTTGCATAAATTTAAGACTCGTCATGTTGCCCTCTTGTCTTAACTCAGGCAGTGGAGGAGATCTTGAAGGCAGGCGCAGATCCTAACTTACCTCTGGGCTGGAGGGTGGGCAGTGCTCTCTGCGCCCTCGCCAACTTCAACTACCGCTTAGGTGGCAACAGAATCAAAGTGGTAAACTCAAACGTAGAAATGTATTTTAAAATAAATGCAAATTTACATTTAGTTGTGATTTCTCACCATAAGGAGTTACACTGCAAAAACACAAAATCCTATAAAGTATTTTTGGTCTAGTTGCCAGTGCAAAACTAACTCACAAGTGATTTTTCGGCAAGATATAGGAACTTGTTTTAAGTAAATAATTCCTTAATATTGATGAAACAGTACTAGTTATAGGTGAAGTAATCTGCTAGTGGAACAACACATTTTCCCCATGTTATCATTTAAAATGTCTTATTCCACCTGCAGATTATTTCACCAATAACTAGTATTTTTTAATCAATATTAATTAATTATTGACATAAAACATTTTCATTTCATTAGCTGTAAGTGGAAAATCATCATAATTAACAGAAATAAAGACTTTTAATCATCCATATGTTTAGAAATAATGTATAAAATGTGATAAAGTTCCTGGAATAAGTGAAGGATTAAAATATGTCAGCTATCCACTGCAAAAACTCAAAACCTTACTAAGTATTTTTGTCTAGTTCAGAGTACAAATATCTTAGTGCAGCTGAAATAAGACAAAATTAACTTAAAAGCAGCTTTTCTTGTGTTGCTCTGTGATGGGTTGCAATCTGTCCAGATTGTGTCCTGTATGGAGCTAAATTGGGGCCATAAAGTTTGTAAAAAATAAAATAAAACTGAAACAGAAAAAAATAAACTGAATTAAAAAAGTGTTGAAACTTAAAAGATTTTTTTTTCAGTTTGAAAAATTTTGGCCTCAGTTTAGCTCCATAACTAAATTGCTCTCCCCCTTAACAGACAAGCGAGTGTAAATAATGTATGGCTGATGTAATAAGATAAAATTATGTGTCTTTATAGCTTGACATGTTAGCTGAGGCTGATGCTAATATCCTGATGCAAGTTCCAGTGGGCGAAGGGGTGGGAACCGCTATCGACTTTGCATACCACTCCTTCCAGCTGGTAACCCTGTTGCACCATCTAATAATTTGCCTCTGGAGGTTAAAAGTCATTTGAGTTGCTGCATTAAGTGCTTCCATCTGAATATGCTGTAGGATGTCCGTTTTGCTCGCACTCCTTTCCACGCCTTGAACATGCAGGAGAGGACTATAATAAAGAAATGGCGCCATCTTCTGACTCTGATGGCGGATCTGTTGAGGAAGAGTGCTGCTCTGGAGGAGAGGAAGACTCTAGAACTGGAGCAATCCCTTCAACCGACTGGTAAGTGCAACATTTTATTTGCAAAACATATGCAAGTTATTATTTTTTTCTGTAAAGTAATTTAAGAGTAAGTGTATTAAGTAAGTAGTAGATTAAGAGTTAGTAGATTAATCAGTTAATTATTATAATAACTAGGTTGATCTAAAACTGCTACTTGAGAAGTTCTGGGTAGAACATACTTTCAGGCAAAGGTTTTTTTGTCTGTAATGCAAAATGTATATATTTTTTGTACAATTTTGGCTTAATTATTGCTCTGCGTATGTTATTCTTTCAGCAGATTTTTGAGTCTGGATACTCTAGTTAATGATTAATGGATGACTAAATTAGTAGATTATTATTTACAGTTAATGTGATTAGTTGATTCAGTATTAGATATATTATTAGGTTTATGCAAACTTTTCCAATGTTCTGATGTCAGAATATAATTCTGTAAGTCCTGGACTTTGTGTATATGCTCTTATTTGACATATGTCCCCTTTAAATATTCAGATGTTCACACACACACACACACACACACACACACACACACACACACACACACACACAGAGTCGTAGGTTGTTATCATTTCTAATGATAACTTGACTTATGTGGCATGTATGAGGGTTTTTTAGTTGTAATAGTGACTAATTAAACACTAATAACACCCATAGCTCCAGAGGACGAGACCCCAGGCAAGCGTACCGCCTCAGGAAAAACGCCACCCAAGCCTCCGAGGTACACACTATTTTTATATCCTTCCTCTTCAATCCGCCTTTCACACTGCACTTCTCAAACCCCGCGACTGTAAATCCTTCCTCAGGCTGCCGGTGTTAAAGTTCTGCTATCACTGCGGCCGCTCTGTGCTTGTGAAGCTGGCGATTTGTGGCCGTTGCCAGAGGGTGTACTTCTGCTCCAAGTCCTGCAAAATGAAATCCTGGGATGAAAATCACAAGGAGGAGTGTCTCCAGATGGCAGGTGAGAATCCACAGATATCAACATAACCGCAGTAAACCTACATAGAATATGAAATTTAGGACATGGACACTCTGAGGAGAAGTTTAATTAAATTGGGCTTAGAAACTAATAAGAAAATACTACTAACATGTTGGACTATGTGAGATGTCACATTTATGGTTTTTGGAGATTTAATTTTTGGAAAATCTGGATTTTTTTTTTGTCACCAATGTGCTTCTTGGGTTTCCATAGTTACAAGACATGTCAGCATGCCCAGGGCGGCCATCTTGGTTGACAAGCATTTATACAGCTTTTATTCAATTGGCCTTTGAATTTGGGTCAACTCTGCAACAAAACATAAGGATCAGGCTTTATTATTATTATTTTTAGAATAAAGTCTTATTACTTGAATAAAGTCATAATATAAGGAGAATGAAGTAGTAAATTTATGAGAACTCCAACATCAAAAATAAAAAAGTTATTAATTAAATCTTTTTTTTCTCATTAAAATTGTTTTTTTATGCATCGCGTTTGTTTTGCTACCCGTTTACTGAGCCCAAACTCAACACATTTGGGTTTTCCCCCCTATTTTTTCTGTTGTCAGTTAATTTCCTGTTGTTATATTTAAAGGCAAGAAAGTTAAAAAAAAAAAAAGCACTTTTTTCTTATAATTTTAAGACGTGGTAAAATTGCAGCTGTATTCTGCTAATGTTATATTCTACACAGAAAGGAATGATTGAAATAAAAGGCACTTTTAGAAAATATTTTCTGCCATTTGGAATTTTGTTTTTGGGAAAAGAAATAGATTAAAATCACGTGGTATGAAAAAAATTGGAGCTATTTCACCCAGCCTGACTAAAATGTCAATATTGGATTAATAAATAATGTAAAATATGTATTATTGTTCAGGTGAGTAGTGTTTTTGACTTGTCTTTCTTTTTCTTTAAATGCAGCCTATCTCGATGCCCATCGGAAGAGATCTTCGTTTAAACCGCGCAAACCGAAAACCGTAACCATCATAAGATACAAGCCAGAACCGCCCAAACCTCTGACCAAGGCGCAGCAGGCCATGGCGAACCAGATCTACCTGAAGGAAAACTACAGTCTCATCTGACGGGTTTAAATGCTTTGAAAAGTAGCTGTTATTTTTAAATTAAAGTAATTTGAACTTAAATGCAGTTGTGCCATTAACAACAGTTCTCTTAGTAAGAACTATTTTATGATCTGTCTGAAGACATGTAGATCATACATGTCTTCCTTCTTCTTTGATTTCTTTTCCATAATTTTAAAAATGTCAAACCAAAGAAATACACAGAAATCTCAGGACTAAGCCATTTTTGTATTTGTTTTATTTTTTAATACATGTTGATCTTGATGTAGTTTTGTTTCACCTCTGTTATAAATTTCTGTTAAATGTTGGGAATTTAGGGAATTTTATTATTTCTGCAGAGGCGTTGGGGTATAAGTGGTGCACTTAAATATTTCCTATTGTGATAATTTTTTTTAACATTTATTCATGGTTTCAAAGAAAAAATTTAATTTTTTAACATTGTTTTCTCATAGGCAATAGTGGATTAAATGATGCTCTCTGAAATAAAAACTCGTCTCTTCAGGTTTGTGAGGTTCTTTAGGTTCTTCGTAGCATTTGTTTGTTCTATGGTATGTGTTGCAGTTTGCGCAGAAAGCATAGCTGCAGACAGAGCACATTGCTGCAAGGCTGGACTTCTCCAGAATCACAGCAGAACCGCAAGTGAGCCGAGGACAATACGTGATGTCTAAAAGTAAAAACATTCGTGATGTAGTTTTCATTTAACTCTGAAATGTATCTGTGTTCTTATCTGTCAGATGTAGTGAAATGTGACCCATTATACTTCCTTGAACAGGTTCGGGAAATGGTACAGATGATAAACTAGAATGCAGCAAGTGGATTGTATATTTAAGTCACCAAATATACAATCCAGCTGCCACTGTACATGGTAAAACCAGCAAACCAAACTTGCTGAAGCTCTGCTGAAGGTTGCTAGGTAACAGGCAGGCCTCTGCTGTGGTTGCTAGGTAACGGCAGAGTGCTTGTGGAATGTGTCTGCTGATTTGTGACATTACATTCAAAAGCTGCTTTGAAACAGCTCATTTTCCAGACACCAAAAACTTGAACTTATTGCCAGAAATTGGCAAGATGCTTTTTATTATTTTTATTTTTTTAAAGCAGTTTTGCTGCTTTTAGAAGCAGAAAAGGAAACGCAAAAAGGTTAAAGAAAACAAAAAAAAAGTGTCCACAGTGTGTTTTGCATAATAGGTCTCTATTATAGAAAGGCATACCAGGCATGAAGTCCAGGGTAGACTGTAGGAGAAGACAATCATATCTGTGAAAGAGCTCCTCTCCTACAAGACTTTTCACCTGAAGGAGGCATTAGAGATGCACAGAAGGGAAAAGGTGAGAATAAAATTCTAGGAAGAACAGAAGTAATTGAAATGTATACGATGAATATATTTATTTTCACCAAAACAAACATAACGGAACAAAAATATTGTAAGTTTATGGCTCATTTTAGCTATTAAATATGTAATTTAAATTTTTTTTAAAGAATTTTAAAAATATTTTTAAAGTATGTAACTTTTAGAATTTTTTTCCCCATATATGTTGAATGTGTCTATGTTGTGACAGTTTAGCATGAGACACATAATCTGTAAAAAAAACAAAAAAAAAAACAACAACTGAGAGCCTCTGCGCGTCACTGTGGAAACTCGTCCCACTGTTATTGTTACAGCTGATTCCCGAACCTTGCATCAGACTGCAGTTTATTAAGGCGAGTCCAGAGGGACGGACTCATATGGACCAGGAAGCTGATGGAGACACAGTAAACAGCTGGCGTGTAAACTAAGTCCATTTTTAAACACTAGCCCCTTTTAATCATTTGGTTGAAGGAAGTTGTTTTTTTTTTTTTGTTTTTTTTTAAAAGAGAATATTTTAAGCTGCTTCGCTGTCATTTCGAGCAGCGGCGGAATAATTTAGCGTCTCTGGACTTCATGAATACGGACTTGGTGGAGCAGGAAGACGAGCTGCTCGCCCTGCAGAGCATATTTGGTTCGGAAGAGTTCGTCCGAAATGAGTCGAAGTCTGCCGGAGAATTCCGAGTTTCCGTGGAGCTGCCAGCGGGATTCACTGTGCTCCTAAATCACGGTACAGTTCAGAAAACTGAGCAAAATAGGGCAGAAGGGCGATGTTATGTGGAGCTGCGCTTCTACACTGGCTTTTACGGCAGCAGTTTAACTCCGTGGTGTGTTCAAGTTAGCTAGTACAACAGAATATCTGTAATAACCTCAACAAAATGTCATTCACCATCGAGATACGTTTTCCAAGAAATCCTTGACCACTTTTGAGACAGTTAAGATAAAACGGGCCCAAAGTCCAATCATTTGTTTGCTTCAACATTACCCTTTTTCTTTTTTTGTCAGAAAAGAATTAAAACATTTCTAAACTATATCTTTGTGGAAGCAAACATAAAACCAGACATGACTGCTTACATAATAGGCAAGTATTAGTGTCATTAACTTGTTTTTATCCTTCAGGTGGAACAATAAGGCAGTATGACGTCTCTTTCCTTCCACCGCTGCTTCTGACCTTTGAACTTCCTGGAGATTACCCGTCCTCTGCCCCTCCCTCCTTCACTCTGACCTGCAGCTGGCTGACACACCCGCAGGTAATAAATAAATGACATTGGTGGAAAAACGTCTGAAACGATGTGCTGGGGATCAGTCACACAATAAATAAAAAGTTACCCACTATATGTGACGTATAGGGAGGGGCGCTGCGCTACAGGGGCGCCAAAAACGAGGGTGTGAAATTTATTCCTAGTCAGCATTTTCTGCATCCAGTCAAAGTCCACACTGAAAATGAACCTACAAGAAAAGAGGAAAATATATGCAAACCTCTAAGAACTGAAAATACTACGCCGGTGGATTAGGGTTATTGCTGATTAAAAAAATTAATTTTCAGTGAAAAATTCTGCAAGTTTTAGATTAATCTTGAACATTTTGAAAAATCTTTGACTTTTGAGACTCGGTTCCGATTAGAAACAAGGCAGAAATTTAGTTTTAAATTTTGAAGATAATCAAAATCTTATGTTTTTTTCTAAAAAAATTTCAGAGATTAATCTAAACACTTCTGAGTTGTTTCTAGCAAATACTTGAATTATCAAACTTCTGAGATTAATTTGAAAAAAATTAACGACGGAAGAGTTTTTTGGCAGAAATTTATTCCCTTCTTTTCTATCTATAACGGCCTTAATACGCCGTCGTAAAATCCCTCCAAACCAAGGATTAAATTATTTTTTGTTTCTCTGTCTCAGCTAACTTCCCTGAGTGATCGGCTCACAGATCTCTACCAGGCCACTGGGGGCGCTGTGGTGCTCTTCTCCTGGATCCAGTTTCTGAGAGAGGAAGCCCTGAAGCACCTGGACATCCACAATCTGCTGAAGGTTCCTTCTGAGCAGATCGATTCTTCCTCAGCTTCAGACAGATCTCAACTTCCTGCGTCTGTTCCGGCCGGACAGGAAGTCGTCCCTCCAAACGAAGACCAAAGTGACTCTAGTGTCTCTTTGACTGCGTCTCAGATTCTCCTGTCCCAGATTTTGATCCACGATGCAGAGCAGAAAGAAAAGGTGTTTGCAGCCACGCCGTTTGACTGTGGCGTGTGCTTCTCGAGCCGGCTCGGGTCCGAGTGCGTTCAGCTGTACGAGTGCGGCCACATCTTCTGCCGGGTCTGCCTCGACGAGTTCTGGAAAGCACAGATTACGGAGGGGAACGTCCGTGGCGTTACCTGTCCTCAGGTAGACTGCTCTGCCACGCCAACGCCTGCACAGGTACGCCGCATTTTGAGACCCGCCGACGTAAAAAGGCAATCATACAATCAATTCAAAGGATTCTTAAAGCTACAGTTAGTGGAAGCTAATGCTAAAGCGCTAACCATAAACATCAGCTCCCCTAACGCGGTATGCTAAGGTGATACCTAGTGGAAGCTAACCTACAGCGCTAACTTCAACAGTGTTGATACTCACCATGTTCCAATGATACATGTATCATTGGATACAGCGCTTGACCAAAAATAGCCAATCAGAGCCAGGAGGCGGGTCTTAGCGAGGTCGGTCATCCTAATGTACTCACTGCTAAATGTGCTAATGGTGGAGAAACAACTTACTGTTACAGGAAACCATTTATCGGCCATGATCAGTGGCTATTCTAACATTAGCTCCACTAACATTACCATTACTATTCACAACATGCTATGCTAGCTGCTTGAGCAAAACCACTCCACATTGTGATTGGCAGCACTAAGACCCGCCTCCTAGCTCTGATTGGTTCTTTCGTTGTTTCTAGTTAGCATTGGGAGAAGGCAGAGGAGCTAAACTTGTATCACACCACACTGTCACAACAATGAAAGTGATAGTTTCAACTAATATCTAAATATATATATGTAGTAGAAACGTTAATGCAACAAAGTATAAAGTTTTCATTATTTTTTTTTATATTTCAATAGCTATAATGAGCCATACATTTACAGTATTTTTCTTCTTTTTTGTTTGTTTTGGTGAAAATAATTACATAAATCTCATACATACATAGAGTTTTATCCTCACTTTTTCCCTTCTGTGCGTCTCTAATGCCTCCTTCAGGTGAAAAGTCTTGTAGGAGAGGAGCTCTTTCACAGATATGACCATCTTCTGCTACAGTCTACCCTGGACGACATGCCTGGTATGCCTATATGTAATGGGGACCTATTATGCAAAACACACATCTTGGATGTTTTTGTGCTTCCATTTAGGTTTGAACTGCTTCTGAAAACAATCTAAATGTTTAAATACAAAACAGCCAGAAGTTTTCTGACAATAAGTTCATGTTTTTGGTGTCTGGAAAATGAGCCATTTCTAAAACCTCCTGAATGTGACATCACAGATCACCAGGCACACGTTCCACCCCCGTTACCTAGCAACCATAGCAGAGTTCCACCCGTTACCTAGCAACCCAAGCTGAGCTCCAGCACGTTTGGTCAGCTGGTTTTACTGCTGTATACGCTGTACAATGGCTGTTGGAAAACACAAGAGTTTCCCATCGACTTAAAACCCAGTAACCTCTGGCTACATTGTTGTTGGTTGTGAAGGAGGTTTCACTTCTGCTTTTCAAAGATGTACGGTTGTGTAATGGTGCATCTGTTTACATCTGTTTTTACATGCAAGTATAAATGTTGAGTTATTGTGCAAAAAATTTAATGAACATGTTTTGTATAAGCTATCCTATCCTGTTCAAGAAGCATTAGAGGTCACTTGTAATTGGCTCTATCAGAGATAAAAATTCAGATACATTTCAGTGTCAAAGGAAAACTACAGATGCTCATCTCTCATTTTTTATTTTTCATTTTTAGACATCATGTATTGTCCTCGGCCGACTTGCGGTTCTGCTGTGCTTCTGGAGAAGTCCAGCCCCGCAGCGATGTGCTCTGTCTGCAGCTTTGCTTTCTGTGTAGACTGCAAAAACACGTACCATGGAAGAAGCAAGTGCCATGAAGAACCTGACTTATCTACAGCGAAGAGTGAAGATCTGCTGATTGCTTTACCAAAGACAGGAGGTACATGGAAATATAAATTCTTCCTGTGAAAAAAAAACAAAAAAACAAACTGTGCATCTGGAAAACCTGATGATTTGGTTGAACTTAAACGATTTGAGGAAACCATTTACCTTAAACTAGGGGTGTCCAAACTGTGGCCTGTGGGCCATTAATGGCACTTGGAACAATGCATGACAAATTTATACAGAAAAAGTCTGTATGCACTGTCTGTTATAGCTGTGTGTTATTTTAAGTCGAATTTCATAGTAAGTAGGGCTATAAATATCTGACTCTTTACTAAAAAAACAAACTACATATCAATTATTTTATTGAATTTGGTTAATAACAGGGTTTTTATTACTGGAAATAATCTAAATGTTTTTCTAGACCAAATAAACTGAAAACAAATATCCAAAATGTTGGTCCTTTTATTAAGACAAAAACTATTGCATGTTTAATTCTGATTTTTTTTTTAAAAAAAATCACAATAAAATTATTTTGGATTTAAGTTTGGAAAACAATATGACAGATTGCTAAATACTTTCAACTTTGGGATTCTGGCCCATGTTTCAAAAAGTTCAAACACCACTCTGAAATAAATTAATGAAATGAAATTCAGTCATATGATATAAATTGTTACCATTTAAAGAAAAAAAAATTATGAAAGAATGATTTAACAAACAAGACTGAATGTCCAAGTTGTGTTTCAAGATATATTTTATTTTAATTTTGTTTATTTTAAATTTTTCCAGATGGGATCCAGGCACTTATAGAGGAATATGCTAAAAGCGGCAAGAGAAGGCGTCGCCTCCTAGAAAACAAATATGGCCGTAAATTGTTTGTTTATACCTTCGAAAAGCATATTAGCGACAAATGGATAAGCGCCAACACCAAACCCTGCCCTCACTGTTTCTCCCCAATACAGGTACGTTTTGTTTTTAACAGCTCTAGATTCTCATTGTTTCAGGCAATCTGGTTCTGTTCTTCACATTATGTTGTTTTTTTGTTTGTGTTGCAGAAATATTTCGGATGTAACCACATGTTTTGCACTCAATGTAAAGGGAAGTTTACGTGGCAGTGATGCTGTAGACTTGACTTTTTCTTTAGAGAAGTCTTTCTCAAACTTTGGACCGCGGCCGCCCCCTAGTGGCCGCCCAGGTACTGCATGTAAACGACCGTTTGTTTACTGTGACGTCAGCTCGAAATGCGACGCTACAGCTAGCTTAGCAAAGGACAGAAATAATGGATCAAACCGGGTCACTCAAAAGAAAAACTGAAGATACCGGTGGAAAGAAATCAACGGCAGGAATACTGCAGAGGTGGGCAGAGAACTCAGATACTGTACTAAAGCAAGAGTAGTTCTACTTCGACATATTTTTACTCAAGTAAACATAAAAAGTAGCTGTCCAAGAAATTAGTCAAGTAAAATAAAAAGGTATTTGGTAAAAAAGTACTGGGTAACTGATCAAATTACCATCATTTCATATTTAAAAATGATTTAATCATATGGAAATTTAGGTATTTTAAATTTCGAAAAAGACAATAATTCATAAGTAACAAGAAATAACAAAATCAGGCAAAAGAAAAAATGTCCAAATCACTTTCTTTCAATAAAATTTTTTTTTTTTAAATTTTAACAAAAACTGCAGGTCTGTGTCTGGTGAATCTTTGATTAAAACATATTTGTTTTTCATTCAGTGGGTAGAAAATCCAGAAATTTTACTCAAGTAATAGTGAAAATACTTAATAATAAAATAACTTTTAATTGGCTAGTAGTAAAAACACTCCTAAAACTATTTAAAACAACAACAAAAAAAAAGGTTACTCGGGTAAATGTTACTGCCCAGCTCTGTTGAAATGATCAGAGGAAGCCATTCCTGACTGATGTGTCATTCACTACAGATTTGATTCTTTTGAACAGCTCTTTGCCGTGAACGAGTCATTTGGTGAGAACTGTTAAATTTTTACGACTTTGCTTGCTTATAAGTCACACGTCAACAGCTATTGTTATTTTATTTACTTAAAAATAATAATTTAATCTGAAAATAAAGACAACTAATAAAAATTTGTTATTTTTATATTTAATGGTGCAGAAGAGGATTTTTATTTCTGCCAAAGTAACTCAAGTATTTTTCTTTTATGATTCTTAATTACAAATAGTCCTAAAATGTTATTAATGCACATAACACAATAAGGCTCACAGGAAGTAAACTTGTGAAAATAAAGCAGAATTACACAATTTAACCTTAATTACCAAAAATGTCGCACATATAGTCTAAATATTTCTTATTTGTGACTCTGACTCTGTTGGACCTCAGACTAGGAAGAAAAATAATTCTGACATGGATAAAGAACCTCATGCTGTTTCTGTTATAAACTGGAGTACACAGCATGAATTGCAGCTGTAATGTAATTAACTTCAGTCCTGCGGCCTCTCCCAGGATTTTATGACTGTTACGAGATGGAAGTCCAAAGGTTCAGGTCCATTATCTGAAGTCATTAGCAGAGCCAGTAGCTTCTCCGTCTCTTCAGCCATTAGCTCCAAGTCCAGACTGAAACGAACTGGAGCAGCATCAGTTTCCTTATGAAAGGAATCAACTCTAGTATTGGTATTTTTAGGTTTTAGTAAATCTTATTTTCACTTAAAATTTTTGTGACAAAATGCTTGTTGTTTCAAACTACAAGATTTTGCAACGTTACAACAATTTGATAGTTTTCTGAGGAATGAGCTTTGCTAACCTGTTAGGGAAGAATCAAGGGAGAGAAGGAAAAGCTTATTTATAATTTCAGCAGTAAAACCAGATTTATTAAAACCTTTCTGTCAACACTGGGAACACAAACTGCTAAAACTCTGTCCAGTAACGGTTTCATTATTTATCTGTGAGGTCAGGCCCACAGAAACATTCAAAAACTTTAAAACTCATCTAATAAAAATGCAACACTCCAGCGGTTTGCTTTCTGTCACAAACACTAGATGGCGCTGAAGAAGAACAGCTAAATGAGCCTTGGAAATGCTGCTTTTCTTTTTTGCAAGCAGAACAACAAATGTACAAACTGATGTTTATTTTATGCAAAGCATTAAAAAAAACCTAAATAATTTTTAGTGCAACAGTATGCCAGCTCTGACATAATTAAGTTAAAATTGTTCAACTTTTTACGTTACATTTAAAAAAGACAGTAAAATGTCTAAAATAAATCCACCAGCCAACATTTTATTTGCTTTCAAAAGCTCCCAGGTGCTGCTGCTGCAGCTTCTGGGTGTTTGACACCTTCATACAGACTTGCTGTTTTTGAAATGTCCTCCTCCCTTCCTATGTTGTAAAAACATGATGCAAGCATGTCCCCCATGCTGCAGGGTTTTTTTTTTTCCAAGACAGAAAATGTCAGGTTTCACTCATTGTTCCAGGAATGATTCAGTTTAACTACAATAAAAATGTAATAATTGGATAGAAGAGGACCTAAAACTGAAGCTAAAACCGCCACCTGAGGAGTTCTGGGTAGAAAATGTTTACTTTTTTGGATAAATTACTGTGTTGTTTTTTTCAGCAAATGGCCATATTTTAGACTCTTTATTTTTGTCTGCAGAGGCCCTAATACACCTGCAGAAAAACTCACGTTTACTGCAGGTTTAATAATTTTTAACTCATGATGGAATTAGAACCATCAACAGAACAAACAAAACAAAACACTCAATCATTCTGCTCTGTAAATATCTAAGATGAGGTCAGCAGGTTACATTAACACCAACTTGATGACACACAAACAACTCAGCAGAGGCACAGGTTTATTTTTATTCAGAGTAATATAACAAATAACTATTTAAAGTAGATTATGGAGAACATTTGCTCCTTTCAGGCTGATGGCTGCATGTTTCCCCTGCAGCGCTGCGAGCTGAGCTGCAGCGGAGACCAGATGAGACTTTAGTGATGAAAACCGCAGCTCAGCTTTTATCGCCTGCATGTTTATTCATCTGTCATGAAACACAAGCATACACAGAAACGACAGCGCCTGCCGTCCAGGCCTTCACTCAGACAGTAGGATGGAGTTTTAATGCGGTTCAGAGGCACTAAACGTGTGCTGAGGTTTTTCCACAAAGATCACAGGATCATCCGCGTCCCTACAGGGGCGATGCCGACAGATTCACGGCCCTGGGCAGGAACCCCAGGTGGAGGATCCTGAAGTGTGTCTGTAAACCAGAATATACGGGTTTCCATGTGAGACAGGAGGTATATGTTTGGAAAATGACTACCATCCCTTTTCACAAAATGTACTGAATCTCACAATTAGGAATTAGAAACTCGTAATTCTGACTTCAAATCTCATATTTCTGCTTTCACTGCAAATAATTCTTGCTCATTTCTCACGATGCATTTGAAATTAATAATTGACTTTGAAAGTCAAATTACTAACTCCAAATTATTCTAATGACTTAGTTTTATATATAAAAAAATTGTCTTTGAAATTCAGTTTTGCAAGTCAGATCTCATAATTCTGATTTTATTTTACATCATTTTTATTTATTTCTCTTAGTGATGTCATTTACTTACTTTTAATTCCATTAAAGAGTTTTATATTTTTTTAAAAAGTTCCTTCGAAATTCTAAATTATGTTTTTGAAATTTTGAAAGTTAGATCTCATAATTCTGATTTTATATCACATAATGTTTGCTTATTTCTCTTAATAATGTTTTTAAAAGTCATAGTTATGCCGTTGGAAATCAAAATGATTACTTCAAAATTCAATTTTTTTTTTCAAAATCCAGTTTTGAAAGTCAGAATTATTGAAGTAGAATCTAAAAGTTATCACCATATTTTGTATAACTATTATTTTGTATCTTATGACAAAAAAAATCAAATAGTTTAAAATTTTGTAATTATAACTCTGTTACTCCTGTATTACTTTGAAATGATTTATCATTTTAAATCAAAACTCATAATTGAGCTTTTAAGTCACAAACTCAACTTTGTATCTTAAATTAATATCTAAATTATGACATGGGTTAATAAATACTTAGTACAAATAATGTACAGATAATGAATACAAATAATATGAGTTTGTTTAAAGTATATATATATATATATATAACTTTGGGGTGTCAATAAATACTTAAGGTGCTTATAGATTTTAATTTTAAGCTTCAGTGGTGAATAAAATAACATTTTGATTTTTGATGATGATGCTCAACATAACCCCACTTTAGGAAACACTAACTAGGCGGTTAAGTTGATGCTTATTGTCCTGATAAACAAGACAATGTTTTTTTAAAGAGCTTAAACTTTAAAAAATTCAATGTTATTATTCTTCATTTGAAGTTTAGATGATCAAACACTAAAGTGCCTCATGACAAGCAGAGTGGAAAACATTTCATCTGCAACTTTTAAACTAAGACAAGTTGAAAATAACTAACTTTCATGTGTAGATTCTGCCAAACAGAAGACAAAAATAGATTCAGGTTCCCTTCCAATATGGCAAACAGTTTTAACATTTTAAATGTTTCACAGTTTATGTTTCTTTTTTTAGCTAAACTTCCCCTTTTTGGCCGCCTGCCATGCCTGGTTTAGTCCAAAGTCCCAGCGCACGGACAAACGCACAAAACCACTCACCATCGTAAACATTACATTTAGAATCGCTAAGAGGTATATATCGACAAAAATAGTCTTCACTTGAAAGTAACAATAAATGGTCAAATGTCTTTCCATATAAACACCAATGCCTTTTTTTTTAACATCCAGTGTAAAAATTGTTTTGCTAACTTTCCTCTTTATCCATAAATATCTCCAAATAAATACAAATGTCTCCCAAACCCTTAAGCAGTCGATAGCTGCAACTTCATGCACAAAAAAAATAAAACAGGCATTTCTGTCATGTACAACAAAACGTTGAAGTTTAACACTAAACTCATTATTTTTGAAACATGTCAGCATCTCAATAACAGTGAAACAACTTCATAAATTCATATTGTGATTACCCATTCTATGATCTATCCAGGAATAATAAGAAGGCAAGAAAAAAAGGTACATCAGGCTTTCTAAAATATTTGTGCAGCCCATTGTTGAGGCCAGACGCACTCTTCAGCGCTACAAAGCAGCATTCACTGATGTGGCCGTTTTTATATGGAAGTATATTTGGTACAAAAGTATCTGTGCTTTGTAGCTGTGAAGTTGAAGTCAGAGATTAAAATCTTACAGGAATTTTGTAATTGTAGATTTTTGTTGTCTTTCACAAAAACAACAACAAATTCTTAAATACAAGTACACAAATTGTATTTTAGTCACACTTTAAAGTAGCTCCGTAGTTTAAGTCCATTACTTACAAATAGTTTCAGTCTCAATGAGGCAATGAAAGTTTCGAGATTTAATGAATGGGATAAACTAATAATAAATTAGTAGTTTAAAAATAATTTAGTTTAGATTTTTCTGTTTTAAG